TTGGGAGAATCTATGGGGACCCCCAAGCAGCCAGGCCCAACCCACTTCTATAAAAGAATTCAGAGACATCAGTTCCTGGTATGTACTGGATGTCCAGGGCATTGGGCTTCAATGTCTCAAGCCCGAGGGAGAAGGGAGCCAGCTCCCCTGCTCAGGGTTATGGGCAGATCCTATGAAAAGCATTCAGGAAGAGCAGAGCTTGGTCCTCATCCAGTGCTTTGTACAAGGCACCTTAGCTGCAGAGGCTGGCAAAAGAGAAACAGTACAGGGAGCACAGGGAGTGTGGAACTGAGTCCAAATTCCAGAAAAGAACTTTTGCATTCATGGGTGAAAGAGGAAGTCCTAGACATTGGATAGAAGTTGTGGGTTTTTATTTACCTCTACGTAGTTTAACATTGGCAGCACGCGTGCACACACACACACATACACATACACACAGAGGCAACTCACCACTCAGGGCCAACTGGCTGCAGCCCAGGAGGTAATCCCAGACCCTCCAGCCTGCCTTCATTTTGTCCTGTGAACTGCCTGGCTGGGGCCTGCGTCTAGGAAATGCAGGCGCGCTCCGTAATCCAAGGAGGCTACCATTCCATGTGCAGCCGGCGAGGCACCTGGGCCCCAGAAGCAATCTAATGAAAACCTTATGTCACGACTTGGTGCACACAGACAAGTCAAGCTAATTGCAGCTGGCCTCGTGCCCAAGGGGTGACCTCACTGTCGGGACCCCAGGAAGAGGAGGTTGGTGTGTGGGCCAGACCGCTCCTCATCGTGGCCAGCTGGGATGGAGCCGTGGGGCCACCTCTCCTGTGACCCGCAGAAGCCAGAGTCTGTGGACCAGCAGACATAGCCATCTTATCGTCTTATACTGAGAATCCTAAGCTGGGCCCTCAGCCCTCCCTTTCGTTGTCTTCTTCTCTTTCTTCTTTTGGCATCAGCCCCATAAAAATATCTGCCATTCCACATGTTCCACACCAAAGAGAAATTTAATTAGGTAGGACCAAATCTCTGTGGAGGATCTCCAGTTACCAAAGTGAGGAAGGAAGGATATAATTAGATGCTATTTTTTTTTTTAACAGAACAGCTCAAAGCCCCCATTAAGAGAAGGACACTGTGAAACAGTCGATCCATCCATCTCCAGAGTCTGGTACCCCAGAAATGTCCCTTCCTGGTATCCTTAATGAAACCCTTAAAAGACTCACATTTCAACCTCAGACTGGGGGATTTTTTTGCTTGGCTATTTTCACTCTTCGGCATTTAATAAGTTGTGTAGGCCATTCCTTCTGCCTATAACACACTGCTGTGTTATTTTCATATGTTTGGTACTAAATCTTTTATACATAACAAAACAAAATTTCATTTTAAAGCCATGCTTTAAAAGTAAATAAATATGGGTTTTACCTGATGGGTCACTGTAAAATAGCTGGTGACTTGGGTTTTGTTCAAGGAATTAATAGAAACTTGTTTACGAGATTTGCTCAGCAGTTCTGCCTTCAGCATCCGCAGCTGGGTAAGATAAGTTGCAAATAAATTGATGAGACTTGAAGTCTCTTACACAACATCCCAGAAGGAGCTTCCATGTCTGAATATTGATGGGGTCCTTGAAAAGTCTCACAACAGGTCCCTGGGTACCCCATGCCCATGTGGAATCAGAGAGGATTTGCTGGAACGCAAAATCTTTTTCACTTTCACTTTCCATGGGTTCAGAAATAGAAAATTCCAGAAATATACAATTTGTAAGTTCTGCATTGTACACCATTTTGAGTAGTGGGATGAAATCTAATGACACCCTACTCCATCCTGCTCAGGACATGAACCATCCTTTTATCCAGGGTCTCCATGCTGTATATGCTACCTGTCTGTTAATCACTTAGGAGCTGCCTCAGTTATCAGATGAATATCACAGAATAAGGATTCAAGGATCCTTATTTCACTATTTGTGATTGTTGTTAATATCTTACTGTGCTTAATTAATACATTAAGCCTTAACATAGGGATAGATGTATAGGAAAACACACAGTGTGTTTAAGGTTCAGCGTTATCTGTGATTTCAGTTATCCATGGAGATTTAGAATGTATTTGCCATGGATAAGGGAGACTATTGCTATAAAGTACAAAGAATGAGGACAGACTTTGCTAAAGACCCTTAAATTTTAGCAGAATAACTTGCCCACAATAGCCCAGCTCATGTTAAAGCTGCTAATTAATTCTGTTGTCATTTAGTCCACTTGACTAGGTTTTATTATAAGCTTTGGGTAGGGAGAAACAAGAGCATAAAATTTCTTAGTTCTACAAACAGAGGTATGGGTTAATAATTTTTATTATTTTAACGAGGTGATAGTTTTTGCAAATGTGCCTCTGAAATACTGATGAAAGTCAATGAAAGAGAGGTTTTGCTGTATAAAATATATATACCACCTTTTTAGAAATATCTCAAAAATACCAGACAAGGTCACATCAGGCCTGTGAAGGCCTGGTGAGTCAGAATCAATCAGAGTTGTGAGGACAAGCTGGGCTGCTCATACAATGAACACCCCGATAAAGCATCTCCATCCTCAACCAGAAAATAAATGTCCACAGCTGCACTTCGGGGTTGGCACTGAAGTCCGTCCACCACGTTATCATCCTCCCACCAAGAGCAAGATAACAGGAGAAAGCCACGCTCTTGCAACTGCAAGCCAAGCAAACGGGTCTCTACCATGACCTTCATCTTCTCCTCCCAAGAAACACTCTGGGGCTTGCCTTTGGTCCCTGTCACTTGTCCTATAAGGTCATGCTCAACCTGAGAGCACCAAGAGCCCTTGCTCTGGATCCCTATGTCTGGAATCAAGCAGCTTTTCAAAGGGAGAAAGTGCTGGCTTGACAAAACTAAATTCTACTTTTCCTGGACCTTGAGTCAAGTTAGGTTCTAAATGTTAGGAGGCTCACAGGCAATTTGGGACAGGTCTTCTAATTTCAGTGCAGCAAAAGAATCTTAAAGATAACCTGGTACAGTCATTTTTTTGAAAATTTTTACTATCTACCTGTTTTTAATTTTTTTTATTTTAAATAGGGACCTTAAAACACTGTTTATGGCTTGTATCTAGATGTCCTCCCAAACCCGCCTCTGCTCATAGGTGGGGCTTTTCAGAGGGGGCTGAATTCAGGGTATGTGGATATAGATTAAGGGTGTGATGATTAGATTAGTCCACTGATTGGTTTAGCATTGTTCTGGGTGTAGGTGATGGGAACCCCAATCTGGGTATGGGTGGCACCATCCAACAGGCTTGCAGCATGGATGAAATATAAAGGGATAAATAAAAGGGAGGTTTGCTGCTGCTGCCTCACTTCACTGCCTCCTGCCTGCCCTGCCATGGACTGTTTCTCCTCTGTGATGCCTGTCTGCCATATCACCCTGCCTTGGAGTCAGCCAAACGGAAACCTCTACCAACTGTAAGCCAAAATAAACTTTTCCTTCTTTAACTCTGGGTGTTGGGTATTTTGTCTCAGCAAGGAGAGAAAGTAACCAAGACAAACACCTTCCCTAGGAACTGAAAGGCCAGAGGACTGGTTCACCAACTTGACACTGCTAGAGAAAGCTAAGCTATGTAGCATCTCCTGCAGGGAGTGTAGTACCCAAAACAAAAACAGGCCCCATATTTTTTAAGGCAATGTACTGTCTTAGTCACTTTTCTTGTCACTGGGACAAAACACCTGACACCCACAACTTAAAGGAGGAGAGGTCTGTTTTGATTTGTTTTGAATCCACAGTCACTGACTCTGAGGCAGAAACAGCATGGCGGAAGAGTGTAGAGGAAGAAAGCATCTCGTGCATGGCATGGTGTCCAGGAAGCAGAGAGCAAAGGGAGCAGCTGGGGAGGGAGGGAGACCACTCTAAATCACACCCCCAGTGACCCACTCCATCCAGGCCCCACCTCCCAGCAGCAAGTCAGCTCTAGCGTCTCCAAGATCCAGTCATCTTCCAAAAGCCCCACCTCTGAGTGCATGAGGCTTCTGGGAGCCATCCCAGATCTAAACCCTAACATGTGGCCTGCCACACGTTTGTATACACTTGATCCCCATAACAACTCTGTGACTATCAAGACAGGCGCTGCTCTCCCAGTTTGGCAGAGGAGGAAACCAAATGAAAGGTTAAAGGTCCAGGGCACACGTTGGTTGCCTTCACTGCTTCTTTCTTTTCCAAAGCCCTCTTTCAAGCTCCTCCTCCTCCAGGAAGCCTTCCCTGAACGCCCTCGGGCCAATCACAGCCTTTTGCAAACAGTGACACCCTTTGCTTTAATGAGGTTACTTGTACTTAGAAATGCAGCACGTAAAACAGAAGAGGAGCTACTAGGTCCACACCATAGACTATGATTTGGCCATACAAGTAAAGTACTGACTCAAGCCCTGAAAACACTACACTGCAGGAGATAACAGCCAGTCACAAATGGTCACATATTATATATTTCCATTTATATCAAATGTGTAGGGGAGGCAGCTCTGCGGAGACAGAAAGGGGATTCATGGCCAGCTGGGGCTTAGGAGGACAGAGTAATCGAGGGGGACAGAGTGGATGGGAGGTGACAGCTCAGAGGTGCAGGGCTTCCTTCTATCTGGACTGATGGAAATGTTCCAGAATTGATTGCGCCATCAGTTGCACAAACCTGTGACTATAATAAAAGCCACTGAGTTGTATACTTTAAATGGGTGAATTTTATGGTACGTGAATTCTATTTCGATAAAGTGTGTTTTAAAAAAGGAAGGAAGACAAGGAGGGCTCTCTAACTGCTCCCCAGGCAGACCTCCTTTGCTCCATTCCTCCAACAGCCTGAAACCACCTCTGCAAACCCCTAGAGCTCCATGGAGTGTGCGTGGTAAAATCCTGACTCAGTCCAAGTTTCTGCTCCTCAAAGGCAAACTGAGACACGGCCCTGGGTCTCCTGATGCAAGGCGCAAGGCCCTTCTCTGGTCTCAGGGGAAAGAGGGAGCTCGGCCCCAAAGAGGCACAGCCTGCAGGCTCTTACCGTCCATGTCCAGGCGCTGCATGATGATGGCCAGTTCCACCTCACTCGGCATGTACCCCAGGGAGCGCATGGCCATGCCCAGCTCCTGCTTGGAGATGAAGCCATTCCCATCCCGGTCCAGAACTCGAAAGGCCTCTCGGATTTCTACAAGGAAAAGGCAAAGTCCAGTGGTCACATGGATGGCTTCATCATATTGAAATGATTGGTGACTATCGCTTAGATCCACTGCTTTGCAAATATAATATATTAAAGCCCTTCACACCAGGCATGGTGGTGCATCCTATAATCTCAGCTGCTTGGGAGCCTGAGGCAGGTGGATCATGAACCTGAGGTCAGCCTGGGCAACTGAGCAAGACTACCTCAAAAAAATTGTTTTTAAGGGCTGGGGATGTAGCTCAGCAGTACAGTGATAGCCTAGTCTGTACAGGGACATGAGTTCAATCCCTACTACTACAAAGCAAAATAAAACCCTCTGATCAAATACAACAAAGGCAAAAAGAAGAACAAAAAGAAAAATAAAACAAAAAGGAAATATGAACTGGCATGGTGGTACATGCTTGTAATTCTGGTACTCTGGGAGACTGAGGCAGGAGGATTGTGACTTCAAGCCTACCCCTGGTAATTTAGCGATTTAGTAAGACCCTGTATCAAAAATAAAGAAATAGGACCAGGTACATAGCTCAGTGGCACAAGCACCTGCCCGGCAAGTGCAAGGTTCTGAGTTTGATTCCTGGTACCACAAAAAAGGGGGGGGGGATGGGGATGTAGCTCAGTGTCGTAACATCTGCCTGGCAAGCACAAGGTCCTGAGTTCGATTCACGGTGCAAAAAAAAGAAAAGAAATAAAATGGCTAAGGAAGTAGCTCAATGTGAAAGCCCTCCTGTACCACAAAATAAAAAGAAAAGGAGGAGAAAAGAAGGGAAGGGAGGAGAGGAGAGGGAAGAGAAAGGAAGGAAAAAGAGGAAGAAAATAAAGAAAAAGGAAAGCAGTGGGCAGAGTTAGTCAGAGGTCCAGCAGCGTCCTATGGCCAAGGACACTCTCTGAGCGTGGCTAAGCTGTGAAGAAGACTCTCTTGGGCCCCCAGGAGGAAAGAAGTATGAGATTCCCCATTTGAAGACATATTTCAGGTCCTGCTGCTACAAAAACTGTGCAGAAAGCTTTTTCAACCTGAAAAGAGGATAGGAGTTAAGAATCCTGCTGGTTTTTATTTCATTCCTCTAATTTACAGTTGTTTCATGGCTCTAAACAACCTCAGATCAATAGGAGTGTCATGAAAGCTCAAAAGCCCTCTTTAATACTTCCTGAGTCTGGCAGAGAACTAGACTCTGCTATCAATAAGGCCCGCTGCATGTGGCAGGTGATCTCCCAACCTCTCAGCTCTAGGAGAGCTGCTCTGAATTCACCTGAGTCCCTTTCTCCAGGGGCCCTGCGGCATTAGCCCTGGATTGGTGGAGCATTTCTTACCCTTCACACCCTAGTGATACGTGGTACAGGGAACTCAGATCACAGTTTGATGATGAGAGGTCCCTCCATCACATCTAAGCACATTGGCCCTATGGCAGCCTTAACACTTCGCCAATTCACCCAGGTACGGCAGTATATTCACGATGGCATTTGGCAGGCACTGACTACCTATTATGTATAATCAGGAGCATAGTATAAAGTGCCACTGGGAAATAAAAATGATCCCATCGGCCCCATGAGTCTCTTCCTCAGCTTTGTATTCCAATCAGTGTTGTAAGAAACATGCAGAAGCTTGCTGTCCTTCAGACTAATGTAACACTTGACCCCAACCCATTTGCTTAAATATCTGACTGTGCTCTTGGTAGGTATCTTGACCTACCCACCCTTCCCCACATGGGTTTTATCCTTTCCTCTTTGTGTTCATACCTGAGGCCAAGGGTAGCAAATTACCACAAAGCTGGTGTCTTGGAACAACAGAAATTAATTTTTTTTTTGTTTTGTTTTGTTTTTTGGTTTTTCTCTGGTACCAGGAACCGAACTCACGACCTTGCACTTGCCAGGCAGGCGCTTTGCCGCTGAGCTAAATCCCCAGCCCCAATTAATTCTTTTTAAATCAGCATTATTAGATAAGAATCAAGGTGTCTGAGGAGCTGTGCGCCCCCTAGAGGTTGAGGGGAGAATCCATTCTCTACCTCCTGGTTTCTGGTGGCTGCCAGCACTCCTTGACTTGTGGCCGGATCACTCTGACCTCTGCCTTTTGTAATCTCGTATGTGTAATCACCCTCTGCCTCTCTCTTATATGATCATTTGCATTTAAGAACCACCCAGATAATCCAAAATAATATCTCCATCTCAAAATCCTTTAATCACATTTTCAAAGATTTCTTTCTACCTCCAAACTAACATTTATAAATTCCAGGTTTTAGAAACTGACAGCTTCAGGAGCTATTTCAGGTTATTATATTATCCCATCCAACATTTTCACATGAAACAACTTCCCTTCCTTGTTTCCTACCAAAGTCACGTCCATTCTTCAAGGCTAAGTCAGGGCCTCATACTCCAAAAAGACATCTTCGGTCACTATAGCCATATCTCTTTTTGATGATGACACAGCAGGTCATTTATCCCTTTCACAGGATGTCTCACATGCCCCATCTAGAAATAAATACCACGGCTAGCATAGAAACTAAGAGGTAAGCTCGCTCCTCACACTCTTTCCATCTTTAATGCTCCTCTCCCACAGGCTGCAGGAGCTGCTAGACAGACAGCTGTCCAAAGGATGCTAAATCTGAATAGATAAGGACCACACATTGGTAGTAAATGTTTGACCAATTATCAATGCTAATTCAGCGTGCTGAATGCTTTCAGTGAATGCGTGCGGGCTCCAGTAGAGAGGAGACCAGTCTGGAGCCTGGACCACAGGCTCCTGGCCAGGCGTAATAGCTAATTAGGTCCACAGCCAAACCCAAAGGCCTCGGTTTGCTCATGCGTAAAATGAACTGGGTTGGCTGTGAGGATCCCTGAGGTCCTACTAGCCCTCCTTTCTGTGGATCTGTGGACATCATTAAAGTGATTAAAAAAGAAGAACAGGAAGCCTGTGTTCTCTTACGGACCCTATTAATCTCCTGTTCAAACCTCCCCTCTTTCTTTCCATGAACAGAATAAAAACAAATTTCAGTCCAGTACAAGTTCTGAATCAAGAAGTTTGTCTGCATTTTTCGGCTTCTCTCATCAACAAATATGCCCAAGCTTCCCTAAAGCAACCATATGTTTTCATACCCGGTCCCAGATGTCCTAGAAATAGCTTAGAGCTGTTGCTCAGCTGAAGGTCACAGCACACAGCACCTGGGGACACTGGAGGAGACACCACAGCATCATGTTCCCCATGTTCCTGGCCCCCATGTTCCCAGACACCAAGGACGAGAAGATTCAGAGGCAGGGTCCTGAACCACCACAAGGATGCCCAATGACCTGGGCCAAGCTTTCCCTTTAGTCTCAATTTAATTCCTGCATCTGAAAAATGGGTTAGGTTTGCTCTCCCTCTGGCCTCTACAGTAAAGATTTACTTTGGGGCCAGGAGGGCCATGCACAAGAGAAAAGGTCACGACAGGAGCTGTAGCTGGAATCGTAGATGGCCAGCTGTGGCTGTGTCCTGCCTTTCCTTTTCCAAACCCTCCTTCCCAAGTTATCATTCGGTACCCCACTTCTTCTGCCTCAGTCCTGAACTGCCTGGGCTGCTGATAGCACCATCACAATGGTTCCCTTCTGTTGACAGGGTCTAACCTCGACCCTATGGTCTCTCTGCATGCTCCAGATCTTACCGTGAACTTCACCCTGCACCTCTCCACTGTACACCCTAGAAGGGCCTGGTGGGGGGTGTCAGAGAACTTGACCTGGAAATGAGGACTCTGGTTACTGTGCCTTCCGTCCTACTCCCTTAACTGTCTAGGCTACTGCCGCCAGACTTGCTTCAGCTTGAACTTCTGGATTTGGTAAGTCGGGGCTGGGGATTTAGCTCAGCAGCAAAAGCGCCTGCCTGGCAAGCGCAAGGTTGTGAGTTCAGTTCCCGGTACCGGAGAAAAACCAAAAAAAAAAACTGGATTTGGTAAGTCAAAGGTGGGGTAGGGACAGGGAAATCACTCCATGACTGCCCACTGTGAAGGGTCCTGTTTCTTTAAGGCTCAGGATGCCCATGGCTTGCTTTGTCTGCATGATGTAACCAGATGACCCAGGGTAGGGCAAACACAGATCATATCAACCCAGGATTCCGTTTCCTGTGAGGTGCAGGTAAGTAGGGCAAAGTAGTCCTTCCCAATTTGCATAGAATATCTGCTATAGAGAAATTATTTGTATGTATGTGTGTACATCTGCAGAAGCAGGCACTAACTTTATTTTTGTTCAAAGTAACAGAGAAGGGGGAAAAAGTAACATACAAAACCAGAAATCCATAATGGGAACCACTGGAGATTCAATCTTTCTAGAGTAAGGCAAGCCCAGGCAGACCAGAGGCTTATTAGAAGGAAATGGGTCTTGCAGTCTGGGAGAGATATATGATGTGTGCCTCATTTTACTTTTAATAGCAGAACAGGGTGTGAGAAGTGTGCCCATAAAACCAGTGGCAACACTGGAGCAGGAGAGACCCTTCTGCTTCCGTCTGCAGGAAGCCTGCTCATGGCTTTGGCTACCTTTCCATGCCTGGAGAGTGAGGACCATATATCCAGTGCTGGGGAAGGTGTGCTTTTCACTGCAATGCACCTATCTCTGGGCAAAGTCCTTTGTGCTTCAGAGTTCAGTAAGTGTACTGTGCTTCTGGTCTTTCAATTTCATCTCTTGATTTCAGGCAACACACACCAGCACCCATGCACACACAAGCACACAACAAGCACTGCACCACAATTCTACCACCTCCAAGATGCCTCTGGGGCCACAGTGTTTGTAAAGGTGAGAGGAACTTGTCCAATGGTCACTGTGTAGACTCTGACAGGAGACAAAGAGAGACACATCCTCTGATGGAAGGAATCCAGTTCCTGTCTATGGAATGGTCCAGAATCAAAGTCTGCATTCCCCTCAGGCATCTGGGCCTCTCCTCCCCAGACTGATACACAGGATTTGGAGTCAAGCAAGGCCTTGGATAAAATGATCCTGTTCTTGAGCCCAAGAGATTTACTTCTTATTATGCC